TTCAGAAAATGTAACTCCCATGTCTGTAAGTAAAATATCGAAAAAGCCTTAGGGATTTTTCACATTTCAAGATGGTGGCACTTCCGGTTCAATCGATAGGCTTCAGATTTTGTGTACAGATCAGTAATGTCTTAGCTAGTACAGAAAAAAAATTTTCAAGGCAATCAAACTTATATTTTGTCGATTTTTTTGAAAACTTTGATCCTTATTTTCTCCAAGGGGAGATAACTTAGAAAATTTCAAATTACATCGATGAAGTTGGATCAACCAGATCTACCAACATTCCTAATTTCATGAAAAACGTACTAATATTCAAGAAGTTGTCATGTTCGTTTTATTTGAATTTCGAAAATCGGAAATAGCAGATTTGAAGTAAATGTTTTAAGGTACTCAAAGCAAAAAGAATAAGTAAAATAAATCAAAAGGCCAACATCTGTTTGTGTGCACTAACTTGCAAAGGTTATTGTAAGTGGATGGGAAATCTTCCTTTGTTCTTTTTGTTGAATAAGCAGATTGTTTGTTGATGTGACCTCATGACCTGTGACGTTTAGATAACGTCATATGGATATCATGGCTATTCACTGTGTCAGAGTTACTTCTCTGCAGGCAGGGTGAGTCTGTCGTTCAGATTGTAACTAGACATGTTCAATGTTATTGCACACTTTTGCTGGTTTACACTAGTTTTAGTAGAAATCATATAGAGAAGTGGGGTGGGTTTTCTGTGCAATAACAATAAGCATGTTGAGCAGTTGTCAATGTTACAAGTCATTTATAGCACGCTTCATTCGTTAACAGGTTTAATCTCTCAGCCTTCGGCCTCTGCTTAAACCTGTTAACTCATGAAAGCCATGCTATAAATATAACTTATTTATTTATATTTTTACAGACTTTTTTTTTGCCACAGGCACTTGAAGGGATTAAAATAAAACTTCTTACTACTGTTTGACTAGTATTACTAATATCAGTAATACTAGTCAAACAGTAGTAAGAAGTTTTATTTTAATCCCTTCAAGTGCCTGTGTTTTTTTGCCTTCTGTTATTTTTCTTTTTTTCAAACAAAATACAAGACCTGCACTCGACCATTTGCATCATAATTTTTCTTATGTACCGGTAGGCCTCATCTTATAGGCTAATAACTGTGCCTGTTTTATAATGTGACATTAAAATGTCAGTATTTTCTCTCAAACATTATATAAATTTATACCGTTATTGCACCAGGGCAGAAGTAACAGCCAGTGGAAACAATCTTTTTCATAATATAATTAATATAGTTGATCTTATTTTACTGTAACTCGTATACGTACAGAACAGGTCTGCAGGCTAAATAGTTCAGACATGGGCCTTAATTCCTTAATTTCAAGTTTGAATAAGAAGTTAACAAAAAAAAAAAGAGAAGGCAGAAGGCAGACAAAGTAAATCAAGTTGCCAATTAAAAACTTGATAGTAATTATCTACGAGAATAAAATTGTCATGTAACCTTACTTATATTATGTATCATAATAATAATATTAATATTCATATTATTTTTTTTCATTTTTCAGAACTTTGTAAATGGTCAGCCAGATCCCATCGCTGCACTGCATTATGAATATGATCATATTGCTCAACCAAGACCACCTCCCAAACCTAGTTCAATTAATTTTTTTGAGAAACCTGCAGTAGTTGAATCAAAGGTTTTAAGGTAACAATGGGTTTACCAGCTTTAGAATGATTATTTCCTGTCACATGTGCTCACAGTATTAGTCATATAGAGGCTTAGAATCACTGTCTTGTAGATGGTGTCTTCTGACCTATACTGGGGGTTTGGGTTGTTGAATGGTTAACACATGCATTTTAGATCATAAGGGCTGTCAGTGAGTCAAGTGAGGTGGTTTTGAACTATTGAACCAATACTTGTATGTGGCAAGGCTCGTCTGTCCAACCTCATGGGGTTTCTCTGGGTCCTACTACGCGGTAGGGAATTATTGAAATAAAATAGGACAATTTGTCAGTCCAAAAATGACATATCTAGTTTGTGTCGACTGGAGTTAAACTCCATTTCTCTCTCTCTGACACTACAAACTGTTCTATATCATGTTAGATATATTTCATTTAGATCCTGGTATAAAGTACACACATTCTTTATGCGTCTGTAACTGTAAGTTATGGTAATAGCATGAAATGAAAATTGTGTTAATACTGTATTTTTTGTTATTAATGGCTAGTCTAATTATTATATTTATTAAAATTAGACACCAGGTTTTAGCAGCAAACAATTAAAATATTTTACTGTCTCTGGTATAAAAATTTTGAATATAATTATTTATGTACACATTTTATATAATTATGAATTTCTTACAGAGTTTCTATAAAGTCAAATCAGATTGAGTATGAAAACTGTGAAGAAAATGCTTTGATTAATAAAATGGTACAAGTTGATGCTACCGTAGGTTAGTTAAACTCATTTTATAGATATGTAGAATTTTTAATAAGATATGGCTTTAAATGTTTAACATAAAAACATGATAATTTTGAAACAAGTTTCTGCATGGTTTCTTTTTCAGGATATATTCTCTCATTGCAGAAATCCTGTCTTGTAAAAGTGACAAAGTCGCAAAATTGTGCCCCAGTTATGAGAAGTTGTCCTGAATCTGAAACCAGTGAATATGGTTTCTAGACAATTTTTTGTTCATCATCATTTTGGATTAAAAAGAAATCTTTCAATTTATTACATGGTTCTGTAAGTGTCATATCTCAAGCTAAAAAAGGACATTTAATTTCAATGAACCCAGTCTTGCCTTTATCACAAACAATTGCATCTGGTGTAGCACCTAAAAATGGAAAAGTTGGATTTATTACAAGTCCAATGTCATGAAAATGATTCCCGGTCTGTTTGATATACATTTGTTTAGCAGTGGTTTCATTTGCTTGCTCATAAGAAGTGGGAACAGAATAAAATTTACTTTTGTCAAATGTGTTTTTTAAAGATAGGTTGCCAGACAACTAAACATACGCCCACAGCAGCTAAATCGTCTGAGCGGTCGACAAGAGTTGTCGTATATTTGTTCTTTTGTAGGTAATTAGGGGGCATTTAATAGACAATTTCATACAGATGATATTATAATTTTCGTCGTTTGAGGGTTCACAAGGTTCTAAAAACTAAAACAAGGGCTGTAACTCGAAGTAATCTACAGAAATTGTTGAAATTCGACAGACTTTTTCGTTTTACTAATTCAAATAATACATATCAATTTCATACAGATCAGATGATAACTTTTGTCGTTCGAAAGTTCACAAGGTTCAACAAAGTAAAACAAGGGTCATAACTCTAGAAGTAATTGACAGAAATTGCTGACATTCAATAGGCTTCTTCATTTCACTAATTTAAATGATGCATATGAATTTCATACAGATTGTCGTTCAAGCATTCACAAGATTCAACAATGTGAAACAAGGGCCATAACTCTAGATGTAATTAACGGAAATTTGCTGAAACTCGATAGGCTTGTTCGTTTTTCTAATTTAAATGATACCTATAAATTTCATACAGATAGGATAATAACTTTTGTCGTTAGAGCATTCACAAGGTACACAAAAGTGAAAAAAGGGCCATTACTCACGGTGTAATGAACGGAAATTGTTGAAATTCAATAGGCATCTTCGTTGCATTAATTTAAATGATGCATATCAATTTCAAACAGATCGGATGATAACTGTTGTCATAAGAGCGTTCAAAAGATTCAACAAAGTGAAACAAGGGCTATAACTCTAGATGTAATTAACGGAAATTGCTGAAATTCAATAAGCTTCTGTTTTACTAATGTAAATGATGCATATAAATTTCATACAGATCAGATAATAACTTTTGTCTTTAGAGCATAAACAAGGTACAACAAAGTGAAACAAGGGCCATAACTCAAGGCGTTATTAAAGGAAATTGCTGAAATTCAATAGGGTTCTTCGTTTCACTAATTTAAATGATGCATGTCAATTTCAAACAGATCGGATGATAACTGTTGTCATTAGAGCGTTCACAAGATTCAACAAAGTGAAACAAGGGCCATAACTCTAGATGTAATTAACGGAAAGTGCTGAAATTCAATAGGCTTCTTTTTTTAACTAATCTAAATGATGCATATAAATTTCATACAGATCGGTTGATAACTTTTGTTGTTAGAGTGTTCACAAGAAGCAACAAAGTGAAACAAGGGCCATAACTCTAGATGTAATTAACGGAAATTGCTGAAATTCAATAAGCTTCTTTGTTTTACTAATCTAAATGATGCATATAAATTTCATACAGATTGGATAATAACTTTTGTCGTTAGAGCATTCACAAGGTACAAAAAAAGTGAAACAAGGGCCATAACCCCCGGCGTAATCAACGTAAATTGCTCAAATTCAATAGGCTTCTTCATTTCACTAATTTAAATGATGCATATCAATTTCAAACAGATCGGATGATAACGGTTGTCATTAGAGCGTTAACAAGATTCAACAAAGTGAAACAAGGGCCATAACTCTAGATGTAATTAACGAAAATTGCTGAAATTCAATAGGCTTCTTTGTTTTACTAATTTAAATGATGCATATAAATTTCATACAGATCGGTTGATAACTTTTGTCCTTAGAGCGTTCACAAGGTGTAACAAAGTGAAACAAGGGCCATAACTCCAGACGAAATTAACGGAAGTTATTGAAATTAAATAGGCTTCTCGATCTCACTAATGCAAACAACATATATCAATTTCAAAACAATCAGATGATAAATGTAGTCTGTAGAGTATTCACAAGAAATTGTGGACGGCGGATGGACGGACAGACGGGGGCGACGGCAATATACGACCACATTTCCATGTGGGCGTATAAAAATGAATAGCTCATTTCTTTCTTTCTTTTCATAACAGCTCCAAAATTTGAGGCAGTAACACCACACTATCTTTTTTTCATCCAGGTGTTATTATTATTTCTTGTGGATCTCACTATTTTTATGGCTTCATTTTGCTTTTTTACATCTATTTATTTCCACTCAACTTTCATCTTTTCTATCTGATTTAAATCTAAATGTACATCAACTGGTTTTGGAAAAACTATTTCACCACATTTATCAGAGTTCTCTGTTGTCAGTTGAGTTGTCACTTGCATAAGGGGTGCCTGAAATACATATTATAATCTATTTACTGTATATATTTTTCAGGATTTAAACCGATGGACATCTTGGCCCTTGTTGCAGAAAATATGAATTACATCACCTTTGTATTACATACTTGTACATAATTTGCATACAAAGAGCGGCCATTTTGTCTTACAGTTTCATTTCGATTTTCCCAAAATTCGAATTCAACCTTCTTTATGGTGGAATGGTGATATATCTAAACGGTTTTAAAAATCGGAAAAAAAAAATTGTGACTTAGAGAATCCACAAGCTAAATATGCAATTTTTCGACCAAAGTTACGTTAGAATATGTGTGATTATCAAAAGGAACCAAAAGCTTTATGATAAAAACATACATACATGTAAGATAGGTTGCCTGGCAACGAAACATTCGCCCACAGTGGCTAAATCGTCCGAGCGGTCAACAAGGCTTGTCGCATATTTATTCCTTTGTAGGTAATTGGGGGCCTTTACAAGATAGTTCCATACAGATCAGATTATAATTTTTGCCGTTTGAGGGTTCACAAGGTTCTACAAATTGAAACAAGGGTCTCAACTCTGGAAGTAATCTACAGAAATTGTTGAAATTTGACAGGCTTTTTCATTTCACAAATTTAAATGATGCATAGAAATTTCATACATATCGGATGATAACTTTCATCAATCGAGCATTAACAAGGTTGAACAAAGTTAAACAAGGGCAATAACTCTAGAAGTAATAAACAGAAATTGCTGAAATTCAATAGGATTCTTCTCTTTACTAATTTAAATGACACATGTAAATTTCATACAGATCGGCAGATAACCTTTGATGTTAGAGCATTCACAAAGTTCAATAAAGTGAAACAAGGGCCATAACTCTAGACATAATAAACAGAAATTGCTGAAATTCAAAAAGCTTCTTCGTTTCACTAATTTAAATAATGCATATCAATTTCAAAAAGATAGGATGATAATTTTTGGGGTTAGAGAGTTCACAAGTTTAAACAAAGTGAAACAAGGGCCATAACTCTAAAAGTAATAAACATAAATTGCTGAAATTCAATAGGCTTCTTCGTTTCCCCAATTTAAATATTGCACATAAATTTCACAAAGATCGGATGTTAACATTTGGCATAAGAGCATTCACAAGGTTCAACAAAGTGAAACAAGGGCCATAACACTAGACGTTGTAAACGGGAATTATTGAAATTCAATAGGATTCTTCGTTTCACTAATTTAAATAATGCATATAAATTTCAAAAAGATAGGATGATAATTTTGGGGGTTAGAGCGTTCACAAGTTTAAACAAAGTGAAACAAGGGCCATAACTCTAAAAGTAATAAACAGAAATTGCTGAAATTCACTAGGCTTCTTTGTTTCCCCAATTTAAATATTGCACATAAATTTCACAAAGATCAGATGTTAACTTTTGGCATAAGAGCGTTCACAAGGTTCAACAAAGTGAAACAAGGGCCATAACTCTAGACGTTATAAACGGAAATTGTTGAAATTAAATAGGCTTCTTCGTTTCACTAATTTAAATAATGCATATAAATTTCAGAAAGATAGGATAATAACTTTTTGGGGTTAGAGCGTTCAAAAGGTTAAACAAAGTGAAACAAGGGCCATAACTCTAGAAGTAATAAACGGAAATTGCTGAAATTCAATAGGCTTCTTCGTTTCCCTAATTTAAATATTGCATATAAATTTCATAAAGATTGGATGTTAACTTTTGGGGTTAGAGCGTTCAAAAGGTTAAACAAAGTGAAACAAGGGCCATAACTCTAGAAGTAATAAACGGAAATTGCTGAAATTCAATAGGCTTCTTCGTTTCCCTAATTTAAATATTGCATATAAATTTCACAAAGATTGGATGTTAACTTTTGGCATTCGAGCATTCACAAGGTTCAACAAAGTGAAACAAGGGCCATAACTCTAGACATTACAAATGGAAATTATTGAAATTAAATAGGCTTCTTCATCTCACTAATGTAAACAACATATATCAATTTTAAAACAATTGAATTATAACTTTTGGCGTATAAAAAACATACCTGTGACCTGTAGAGTGTCCACAAACAAAATGTGGACAGAGGGACAGGGGCGACGACAATATACGTCCACATGAAAATGTGGCCGTATAAAAATGGAATATAAAATACTGCATTATGTCTTTTTTATTGAAAATACAGGGGGATAACTAATGATATTGTTTTTATTTCGGTTTTATATCTGCAGTTTTGCTGAAAAACCTATACAGGCCCAAATCAATTACATTATTACGTACATGATATGCAAATAAACTGAGGGCCAATGGATGTTGTTAAGAAGTCTGCTGTGCTGCTCACCAAGTATGAGATTGGACAGTCCTCCAAGGTTTGATACTTGATTTTTTCTGAAAAAGAAAATATTACGCTACAAAGCAGGCATACCGGTATTTAAAGAAATTGCATGTGACACTCCTTGTGTATTATCATACTTTTTGGATCATCACAATATATTACATCACAATAAGAACATTTTCTTATGTGGTGGTTGCCCGTGTCATCTGAACACTTACATTCCCAGGTCTTGAAATTATAATCTGTGAAACAGGGTCTGGTTAAATTTTCGCCACCCTTGGCTTATCTCACTGCTGTGGTAAACTTGTCGATGATGGTTGAGAAGGGACATTTTTCTATCCTGCTATCTTCCATTTCAATCACTATTATTATTGCCAACACATGAGCACACTATCCTCTCATTCTAAAAAAACAATGATTTTGCAAGGTTAAAGATAGGTTGCCAGGCAACGCAACATACACCCACAGCAGCTAAATCGTCCGATCGGTCGACAAGGGTTGCCGCATATTTATTCTTTTGTAGGTAAATGGGGGCATTTACAAGACAATTTCATACAGATCAGATTATAATTTTTGTTGTTTGAGGGTTCACAAGGTTCTACAAACTGAAACAAGGGCCTTAACTCTGGAAGTAATTTACAGAAAATTTTGAAATTTGACAGATTTTTTGTTTAATTTATATTTTTTGTTTAATGCATATAAATTTCATACAGATCGAATGATTAACTTTTGTCATTTGAACGTTCACAAGGTTCACAAAGTAAAACAAGGGCCATTTTAACTCTAGAAATAATTGATGGAAACTGTTGAAATTCAATAGAACTCTGTTGCACAAATTTAAATGATGCATATAAATTTCATACATATTGGATGATAACTTTCATCAATCGAGCATTAACAAGGTTGAACAAAGTGAAACAAGGGCCATAACTCTAGAAGTAATTATTGTAAATTGTTGAAATTCAATATGCTTTGTGGTTTCACTAATCTAAATGATGCATATAAATTTCATACAGATCAGATGATAACTTTTGGAGTTAGAGCATTCACAATGTTTAACAAAGTGAAACAAGGGCCATAACTCTAGACATAATAAATGGAAATTGCTGAAATTCAATAGGATTCTTCTTTTTACTAATTTGAATGACGCATATCAATTTCATACAGATCTACAGATAACTTTAGATGTTAGAGCGTTCACAAGGCGCAACAAAGTGAAACAAGGGCCATAACTCTAGAAGTAATTAAGGGAAATTGCTGAAATTCAACAGGCTTCTTCATTTCAGTAATTCAAATAATGCATATAAATTTCACAAAGATCAAATGATAACTTTTGGCGTTAGAGCGTTCACAAGGTCCAACAAAGTGAAACAAGGGCCATAACTCTAGACATAATAAACAGAAATTATTGAAATTAAATAAGATTCTTCATCACTAATGTCAACAACATATATCAATTTTAAAACAATTGTAGCATAACATTTGGATAAATCTGAATGTGAGGATAAAAAATAGGGCCTAATAGTCTATTCGTTGTCACTAATATCAGACATATTTTAGCCAGGTGATTTAAAAGTTAATCTTTTGATCTTTCAATCTGATTGGTTTCATTCAGGTAATTTAACGTGCCAAAAATAACATAAGCAAGCACTAATCTGCTATTATGAGTATGAGATTAAAATGCAATTTTTGGCTATTCCTTCTGAGTTTATTACTAATAAGTAATATTACTATTATTAGTGCAAGAAATAATGGATTACGGTACTAATACTATAGTCTAGACTAGTTAGATGATACAAGATCTCTGTCCTATTATTGTATCAAAATGATTAAAAATCTGTTGCAAGACACGATAGCTCACCTAATATTAAGGGCAGAAATTGTCTATGGAAAAATCACAAATTTCAAAAGCCCACTTGTACTAGGTAGAATAAAACTGAGTTCCAGAAATTAATGCCATATCAGTAATCAGTTTCCCTGGAGTGAATGAATGAAAATACTGGAATATCTACTATTCAATAATTCAGTCGATTCCAGGCATTTTAATTTACCTTCTTCTTTCACGTCAGAAACGAACAGTGAAAAGATAAAATAGATTCGTAACTTGGTAATCTTACCTTTTCTTTGGTACTTGTAGGTTCACAGAGTATGTCATGTAGACCTATCGACGGAAACTGCTTTATAACTCAAAGCCCTTCTCTTTCACCCACCAAATAAACCATTTAAGAGTTCTCGCTACCACTTCTTCTTCTCAGGTAGTCAACTATGCGGTCATACTTTTCTTTCCGTGTAACAAAATTCAATAAAATGACTAATACTAACGAAGTGCTCCATGGTGAATACCTAGTAACATTAGGCGTACTATCATTGTGGTAATCCATTAAATAGCCCGGACAAAGTTTACTTCGCGCGAGCATCTTTCAGTCTGATTGGTTTCATTCGGGTAATTTAACATGCCAATAATAACATAAGCAAGCCCTAATCTGCCATTATGAATATGAGATTAAAATGCAATTTTTGGCTATTCCTTATGAGTTTATTACTAATAAGTAATATTACTATTATTATTAGTGCAAGACTAAATGGATTACGGTACTAATACTTTAGCCTAGACTAGTTAGATGACACAAGACCTGGGCCCTATTATTGTATCAAAATGAATAAAAATCTGTTGCAAGACACGATAGCTCACCCAATATTAATGGCAGAAATTGTCTACGGAAAAATCACAAATTCAATAGACCTCTGTATCACAAATTTAAATGATGCATATAAATTTCATACTTATCGGATATTAACTTTCATCAATCGAGCATTAACAAGGTTGAACAAAGTGAAACAAGGGACATAACTCTAGAAGTAATTATTGTAAATTTCTGAAATTCAATAGATTTCGTGGTTTCAGCAATCTAAATGATGTAGAGATGGGCGATTTCACCAGTTATCCCTTATAGCAGTGACTAGTTTCATTCTAATTGAACTCTTCAGACTGATTTATCTCACATAGTGAGTGAGGTTCTATATATACTGTATGGAAACCCCGGTGAGATTTCACCGGGGTTTCGGATTTTTACCGGGGTTTTAGTTTTGGCAGGGTTTACCGGGGTTTCTAATACCGGGGTTAGGTATTTTACTGGGGTTTCAGGTTTTACCGGGGTTTTGAAAAGTTACCGGGGTTTTAGGATATGACCGGGGTCTGCAAAATTGCTGAAATTCAATAGGCTTTTTTGTTTTACTAATTTAAAAAATGCTAATAAATTTCACAAAGACAAGATAATAACTTTTGGCATTAGAACGTTCACAAGTGCCAATAAAGTGAAACAAGGGTCATAACTCTAGACGAAATTCAACAGGATTCTTCGTTTCACTAATTTAAATAAAGCATATAAATTTCACAAAGATCGGATGATAACTTTCAGCGTTAAAGAGTTCACAAGGTTCAACAAAGTGACACAAGGGCCATAACTCTAGACATAATAAATGGAAATTGCTGAAATTCAATAGGCTTCTTTGTTTCACTAATTTAAATACTGCATGTAAATTTCACAAAGATCGGATAATAACTTTTGGCATTAGAGCGTTCACAAGGTTCAACAAAGTGAAACAAGTGATATAACTCTTAAGTAATTAACATAAATTATTGAAATTAAATAGGCTTCTTCATCTCACTAATGTAAACAACATATATCAATTTTAAAACAAGCAGATGATAACTTTTTGCATTAGAGCGTTTACAAGAAATTGTGGACGACGGACGGACAGACAGGAGCAACGGCAATATACGTCCACATTTCCATGTGGGCGTATAAAAACTGTTAGGTCTGGATTTATCCCCTCTGATACCTCTTTTAAGTAAAAATATTGACCCTGAGGTCAAGTCCCCTACTGTAGATTCTATCATAACCTAAGGCAATGCCCATTTAGCATTGCCTCTGAAGCATAGATTATTTCTTAGGAAATATCTCAACAAAAGATACCACCCAATATATTCAACGACAAGGCCTGTTGGTGATACTTTGTTTGGCCCTGATGTAGCTAACCGGATCAAAGAGATCCATCAATCAAATAGAATTTATAACTCCTTTTCTAATGGCATAGTTTTTAAAGATCTTATTTAGTTCAAAGCTTCAAGCGCTAGCTACAATCTCTGTATCGTTCCGGCAGGCCCTCCTTTCTCCAACCGGGTCAGGTTCCCTCACTAAAACTATCACTAGACGTTGAAAGTAATAATACATTATTTTACGCTTGACAAATTTCTGTATTACTGGGCCACTATTACCTCAGATCAGTGAGTGTTGAATATCGTTAGTGGTTATAAAATTGACTTTATTTTAACTCCTATGTTCAGAAGGCTATTCCAAATAGCCCGCCTTTTAATCTTGAACAGATATCTTTAATAGATCAGGAAGTAGATAAAATTTTAAATTTTACCAAAATCTTTTTTATTTATGAATACTTTTATATGGTATTTTACCCAGGATTAAAGAGTCATCTGATTTGAGTAAAAATGTCAACATTTTTTGTCTCCGTAACTTTCCATGGCTAATTCAGCTTTTCAGTCCTAGATTAATTATTTATTATTCGATTTGCATAAGACAAAGTTCATATGCTGCGTGGTCCAAAATGTCACTTTTTTAGTCACCAGTCAAGTTCCCTGTTGACGTAAATTTTCAAAAAAAAATATCAATGTTTACAAATCTAAAAGATCAAGATGAATGCTCCTACTAAATACACAAAATGTTTCGGGCTTATTTTTGTTTATTTCGGTTTTGTATTTGCCCTATTTTAATTAAAATGTGAAGAAAAGGTGTGAAAATGAGCTATTTACATTGCATTCAGACTTTTTATATTTCAAAATATTTCTTGACAACTTTCATAAACCTGTAGCAATAATCCTAACAAAGACCATGTATGTCAAAATTAATTTGTAATATATGAGCAGTTGTCGAGAAATAGACAATTTTTCATGGGTCATTTTTCACGTTATTTTGCATGTAAAGGAGTTAATTATAGTCAGATTTTCGATCTGTTTTCATCAAATGATGCCTAATGACACTTTTGACTGAGCGGAACCAATTTCACATTTTCAATATCACCGAAAATGGCCTAATTACCACATAAACTCTATTTTTAGCCTTCAAAACAAATATTTTATTCTTCTAAGTCACATTAGTAATTTTTTTAAAATTAAGATATTTGCTTACAATGAACAAATAGAATGAACTGATGTGAACATACAGATATCACAAAATGGTTTCTAACTTGTACGGTTGCAGAGAAATAGACGATTTACTACAAGTCACTTTTCAAGGTTTTTAGTCTATAAAATTTTCACCATGTGATGCCTTATGCCATTTCTGATTTCATATAACTTATTTAACATTTTGATTATCACCGAAAGTAATGTCCTTTTGGCAAAAACTGTATTTTTATCCTTCAAAACAAATGTGCGTTATATTTATTATTCGTTTAAAATTATGATATTTAATTCCAATGGAAATGAAATGAAATGAAATGGGGTTTAACGTCCTACTGTTCTGCTCCTATACTGGGCTAATGAAGACGGGCATATGCCATACAGTGTGCTATGAGGGAAATTTTGCCCAGGCAGCAGCACTATCGCCTACTCTTATATCGAATTCCAACTGCCAAGGGATCTTTTACTTGCATTCAAATGGACATATAGATTGGATCAATACAATCATATAGATGTTCACAAATTGTTTCTAGCATCTAACTTAGTAGTAAGTTAGTAACAAATTTTGTCAGGATCACTTTTTTGACATATGTAACGCAGGGTAATCAAATGTATAAATGGAACTGATATTGCTGGATTTGGTTCATTCTGCATCCAATTTATAACATGTGCGCAATGCTTATGTGGAAATCTGTTTAACGGTTACATTTGTACCAGATGTGACTTAAGTTCAAGTGTAACGTGGTACCGGAAGTAACATAAGTTCAAGGGTAACGTGGCACCAGTGGAATCCCTCATTACTACATTGCAGTTCTAGTGATGATTGTTTTTACCAAAACAAAGATAGGTTGCCAGGCAACGAAACATACACCCACAGCAGCTAAGTCGTCCGAGCTGTCAACAAGAGCTGTCGCATATTTATTCTATTGTCGGTAATGAAACATTTATAATACACTAAAATCTGATTACGAGTAACAACTCGTTAAGTAATTATCCGAAAATCATTAGAAATTGTTTGGCTTTTAGTTCTGTGCCATGCTAATGTTTATTATACAAAACATTTAATATCACTGATTTAGCTGTTCAAGTAACCAAAATTCATTGAAAATCAATATACTTGTTCGTCTCAAGACATCAAACTCTGTTTATCAATCTAAAGTCAATCGGATGATAACTTTGGTCTTTGGTCTCTAGAGCGCCCACAAGATATTTCAAAGTGATCAAGGGTCATAACTCTAGCAGTAATTATCGGAAATCGTTGAAAATCTATAGACATCTCAAGAGCGCCCACAAGATATTTCAAAGTGATCAAGGGTCATAACTCTAGCAGTAATTATCGGAAATCGTTGAAAATCTATAGACATCTCAAGAGCGTCCACTAGATATTTCAAAGTGATCAAGGGTCATAACTCTAGCAGTAATTATCGGAAATCGTTGAAAATCTATAGACATCTCTAGAGCGTCCACTAGATATTTCAAAGTGATCAAGGGTCATAACTCTAGCAGTAATTATCGGAAATTGATGAAAATCTATAGACGTCTTCGTCTCATGACCTTAAACACTGTATAAATTTCAAATCAATCGGATATTTACTTTAGCCTCTAGAGTGTCCACAAGATTTTTCAAAGTGATCAAGGGCAATAACGCTGGCAGTCATCATCGCAAATCATTGAAAATCAATAGACTTCTTCGTCTCATGACCTTAAACACTGTGTATAAATTTAAAGTCAATCAGATATTAACTTTAGCCTCTAGAGCGTCCACAAGATTTTTCAAAGTGATCAAGGGCCATAACTCTGGCAGTAATTATCGCAAATCGTTGAAAATCAATAAGCTTCTTCGTCTCATGACCTTAAACACTGTGTATAAATCTAAAGTCAATCGGATATTAACTTTAGCCTCTAGAGCGTCCACAAAATTTTCAAAGTGATCAAGGGCCATAACTCTGGCAATAATTATCCCAAATCATTGAAAATTAATAGGCTTCTTCGTCTCATGACCTTAAATGCTGTGTATAAATCTAAAGTCAATCGGATATTAACTTTAGCCTCTAGAGTGACCACAAGCAATTGTGGATGCCGGAGTACGGAAGGAGGGGGCGACGAAAATATATGCCCACATTGATATCATCAAACACTTTGACTGTTTTATTTTCTACTTAAGCATATCTCAGAAACTACTTGACACATCGATCCGATATCTTTGGTTTTACTGGGAAAGTTGGCATGACTTATAGATTAATTCTATTTATAACATTCTGCTACAATGCAAAATGTCCGAAATTACTGAAGTTGTCTTTTTTCTAAATATTGCCATAATAATACTGAAAATAATAGATGGAGTTTAACATTTGATACATTTTGACATAGCAGGAGACAGGGTAAATAGCTATGGTACTTTAGATTTTTCATTTTCAACGAATCTTCGCTGATATTAGGCGTGAAATTTTGAAAATTAAAATTTTTACAAAAAACTTTTTTTTAATTAATGAATATTTTTTGATGTTTTTTTTACACAGGAATAAAGGGTCATATGACTTGAGCAAAAATGTGAACAATTTTTGTCTCAATAATTTGCGTTAGCAGCCACTGTCTAATTCGGTCCTAGATTAATTATTTATTGTTCGCTTTTGTATAAAACTAAACTCTTGTGCTCCGTTTTCCGAAATGTCTTTTTGTTTGTTACCGTTAATGTTTCCTATCGACACCGAAAGTGACATAATATTACTAAAAACTACAATTTTGACAGTTCGATACCACTATTTGAAAGCAAATATTATTTTTTTCAAATCTGGAACAACTGAAAGGGCGTGCCCTTTAAAGGCACACAAAACATTGGGCTCAGTTTTTTTTAATTTCGAATTCGTTTTCAGGTTATTTCGTTTAAAAGGTGAAAGATAGGTTGCCACGCAACAAAACATACGCCCACAGCAGCTAAATCGTCCGGTCGACAAGGGTTGTCGCAAATTTATTCCTTTGTAGGTAATTGGGGGCCTTTACAAGACAGTTCCATACAGATCAGATTATAAATTTTGTCGTTTGAGGGTTTACAAGGTTCTACAAACTGAAACAAGGGTCTCATATATATCCCTTATGAAAAAGTCCTATAGAAAAAGTACAGGTTTCTATAGAAGTTTGTGGGATTCTATAGAATGCTGCAGGAAAACGAATTCATTCTGTATTTTTTTTTACATGACTATAGATTCAAAAACATGTACTATAGTTTTGTGTAGGATTGGTAGATGAATATTTTCCAAGTGTAATTTCCTATAGAATTCTATAGAATACTGTAAGAAACTATTTGAAAAAAAATAAACCTACAGATTCATTGGTGCTGCTATAGTTTTCTATAGAACTAACTTGTATCTTCGAGTCAGTTGAGTAATCCTTCAGTTTTCAACAGCCTTTGTGCTAAAAACTATAGTTTGCTATAGAACTAACTTGTATTCTCAT